CTCCCTGGAAGAAGAGTTATTGTAACTCAATGGGACCTTCCTAGTTAAATAAAGGTTAAATAAAATAAAATAAGATTAGTGTCACGCCCAGCTCCTTACGATCCTTGTGTGTGCCACGCCCACCTCGTTACCTCGTGTTAATCCCTGATTGTCATCACCTGTTTCCTGTTCCTTTTGACTTGTCCTGTGTATTTAGTCCGCGTCTGAATTAGTCTTCCCAGATCTGTCATTGTATTGTCATGTCTGCTGTTTGATGTCTGCCCGTATCCCGTAATAAACCCCGTTTTGTGCGTATTACCGGCTCTGCTCGCCTGCTTCCTGGCTCGCCTGCTCCACAACGTGACAATTAGCCACCCCTGATTTAAAACTTTCAAGTTAAATAAAATAAGTCAGATAATGAGAGGAATCAAAAGCCCAAACCCTGAAACAATTATGCAATACTGCCACTCCATCATTGTGTCACCTAATATGAAACATTCTCCTGTTTAGTCATAAAAATACTATTACCCTTAATTTGCAACACACTCCTGAACTTCCCAACAACTCTGTTCTGATGTGGATTCCTATTACCAGTTATCATTTTAACACCAATCAGCTAATAAAAGCACTACAAATAGGACAAATAGGTGTATTCAGTGTTTATTACTATAAACCGCCGTCATACCACTGTCCCCAAATAGGTATTTAAATAAGCTACAAGTTCATCGGAGACTATGACAATTTGCACATATTTAGTAAGAACATGATTGTACAAACCAAAAGCATAGTGGACAATTTTATATCTTGGATTAAGACAGTGGTCTTAATCCCAAACTGGGGGGCGCAGAGGTATTGCGGAGGGGCGCACCAATGGGATAGCCTCAGGGGCATGTGCCACCCTAAAATAATCTCTTCACAGACTGGACAATTAAACAAATAAAGAAGCGCAACATTACAGTAACTAACAATAAATAAACCACGAAACTTACGTGTACTATTAGAGCATTTATGTAATTTATTTAAGCTTTATTTTACCAGGTAAATTAACTGAAAACCGGTTCTCACTGCTTTACGTGACATTTGGGAGAAATAGCAGATAAAGCATCGGAACTTCCTGGGATACAAACGTCATACAAACGTCATGTTCTTCAGCCAATAAGGGCAAAGTTGTATCGTCACAGAGGCTGTTCCAGTTTGTTTAGCCGGCTGAGAGGTGCTGTATGATCTGTCTTAAGTCGTCTTTTTGTACCATGTGACATGGTGACGCGTGACAACGTTTTGCAGTGCCGGACAAAAAAAATGTAACCATATCATGAAAAACGAGGTTTAAAATTTTCTACATGAAGTGCAGGGAGACTATCAATTAATGGGTATGATTTAGTGTTGTTTTGTGCTATAGTATAGGCTGAAACCTGCAGTTATCATTAAAAACAAAATGCGGTAATCGTAAGACAAACTTTAATTTGTGTACGCCAATGAATATTAACAGGAATATTAAATCTGTATTTGCATAATTTCAAACTTATGCTGGACTTTTATTTTTAATTGATTGCTTTTTTTTTCCCCCACAGTGGTGAAATTGCACCATTTGTATTTTGTAATTGCATTTGTTGTTTCGCTCAGAAACAAGGGCGTTGTATTTCAAATAAAGTTTAGGAACCACTGGATTAAGAGAATGATTTAATAGGGCAAATCCTTGTTTTATGTAACAACAATTACAAAGAAGTTCGATACTTAATAAAATTTGCCATATAAGGTCAGGACACCCTTGCAGTGAAGGCATTGCCATTTTAAAAGATGAGCAGTGAATTTCATCCTTTTTCCATTTACTTTCCTTGAACAGAACAATAAATTTGTTGAATAATCAATACCAATATAGCCTAAGTGAACAATGTATTTTATTATGCATTATTATGCTTGAATGGATAATCAGACTCTGTGGAAAAAAAAGTGAAAACTGATGTGCAGAGCGGTGTGCCTTCAGCGCAGTCTGTTGGTGAATTCTGCTGATGACCTACATGCCAATGCTCCCGTGTTAATCACTGTGACTGACTGTCTCTGTCCTACAGCAGTGCTGTAACTCAGAGCAGACAAATGAGGCGGCAGGCAGAGCACCGTGGCCATTCCGACTTCCTTCACTGGATATACCATGAACATGTATCATGGCTTGCTGGGTGAACGAGGGGTGAATGCTCCGGAAGCCTCTAACATGGTCTTCCTGCGGGCTGTCTCCTTGGCAACATTATGGTTAAGACGCCGCAGACGTTCCTGGAATTAAACGTAAGAACATAAGAAATTTACAAATGAGAGGAGGTCATTCGGCCCATCAAGCTCGTTTGGGGAGAACTTAACTAATAGCTCAGAGTTGTTAAAATCTTATCTAGCTCTGATTTAAAGGAACCCAGGGTTTTATCTTGCGCTACACTAGTAGGAAGACTATTCCATATTCTAACTACACGCTGTGTAAAGAAGTGCTTCCTCAAATTCGTTTTAAAAAGTTCTCCCACTAATTTCCACTTATGGCCACGAGTTCTAGTATTTAAACTTATATTGAAATAGCCACTTGGCTGAACAGCATCCAGACCTGTTAGAATCTTATATACCTGGATCATGTTCCCCCTTAGTCTCCTTTGCTCAAGGCTAAACAGATTTAGCTCAGCTAACCTCTCCTCATAAGACATTCCTCTAAGACCAGGAATCATTCTCGTAGCCCTCCGTTGCACCTTTTCTAAGGCAGCAATGTCCTTCTTAAGGTATGGTGACCAAACCTGCACACAATATTCTAGGTGGGGTCTTACCAAGGAATTATATAAATGTAACATCACCTCCCTTGATTTAAACTCCACACACCTAGAGATATAACCCAACATTCTATTGGCCTTTTTTATTGCTTCCCCACACTGGCGAGAGTGGGACATGGAAGCATCAACATACACACCGAGATCTTTCTTGTAATCAGATACCTTTATTTCAGTGGAACCCATAAAATATCTGTACTTTATATTTCTGCTCCCTGCATGGATTACCTTACATTTATCTGTGTTAAATTTCATCTGCCAAGTATCAGCCCAGTTGCTAAAAGAAGATCACATCGTAGGCCTTTTTGTGATCAATTGGGTAGGAAAGAGAGAGAAACTATCTGTACAAGGCAGCCATTCTTCTGGGATTTTGGGAAGACCATCCAGTTCACACTGACGGTTTGTTAAGCAGAGCCCGTTGGCTTCACAGTATGACGAACTGATGTTCTGGGCAGTGCAGTGTTCAGTATATGGACATCACACACAGAGGTCAAAGGATTAACTACTCAGGAGAGTCAGTATTGCTGTGCCCCAAATTTCTTATAAAAATGTATATGACATAACACAATAATAATACCAGATTGCTTTTGCAAATAAAATAGATTACCCTTTTCACTGGTTATGGGGCACTCTCAAGATTAATGACAATGTGACATTAGATTTACATGTATGAAGGTCATACACTTCTACTTGCCACAGCTAGTTACAAACTTTGATCATAGTTAGCAAATGGCAACCAAAGCACACTATTAGCATAAACAATACAATATTAGAATTGCTTAGATTGAAATTAACAACATTTTAGCAACATTTTAACATGATCTGTGTAAGCACAATTTCCAAACTTAGTATCATATCCAGAAACAGGTCCAGAGTACTTACCTGAGCATTCTGTAGTATGTTATTCACCAGAACCACCCTGCGTCGAGCGTTTAGCAGTTTCTTCACATACGGGTCCAGGTCCAGCGCCACCTTCTGGTGCTCATTAATTCTGCAGAGTTCTGAGAAATAGGGAGATTAGATTGGGAGTAAAAACACCGGTGAGAAAGAATATGCCATCTATAATCAAATCAAGTAATTGGATTTTAACATGTGAACTACACATATAACAAGAGCTTTTACATCTGAGATGTTAAAGTGCCTTCACAGGTGGATATTCTGAGCTGGACAGTGGTTATTTATGCATATTTGCAAAAACAAAGGAAGCCACTTAAATGAGGGATTTGTAGTTATGTTTTGACATCATTACAACTACTATAGAAATTCAGATAAACATTCTTTATATTTTTAAGAAGGCATCATAATACTCATTTAGGCTCAGTTTACGTTTAAATGTTAAAATGCGTCTTGGGTGATCGTATCATAAGTGGACCGCTAACGCATAGAGACACATCGCGGTTTACACCTGCGTTTACTATGCACCTCCAAGGTGTCCAGCGGACTACTTGGGTTCAGATCCTATTACTGCCTACGTTACTTTTCTCTCGTTGCTGCCTATAGAAATGAAATGGCCCCATGCTCAGTTATTACACAAGTCTCTGTTGCCTGACAAGCCGCAGGCTCGCTAAGAAAACAAAAATGTCTCAAGAAAGAAAATACATGTACAGCTATTCCAATTACTGAGATTGGCTGTACAAAGTCATATGCGACTTGCTCAGGAGTGCAGGTCATTATTTAGAGCATTGGCAACTGTCACCAAACCAACCACCACGTCCTGCATTGATGATATATTTTCCTGTGGCATAATTGTTGGGGACACATTAGCATTTACACTACAAAAGATATGTGGTGAAATGCGTCCTAGACCCCCACGGCAAGTGGTACGAATGATTGGATTACAGTGCATCTTGGTGGTCATTTACACTTGCATTTAGTGCTGTCCTCTTGTGATCCGATCGCCCAAGATGCATTTTAATACCAAATGTAAACAGGGCCTTCGATTACCATATTTGTATAATCTTTTTTATTCAACGAAATGACTAATATGATGTAATTAACTAAAGAGTTAAGTGAAGCAAAACTCATCTAAGGAATAGCACAGCCTGGGCCATTAACTGACTAGTGACTGGCTGTGTTGACAGAAGCCGCACCAGTGGCCAGGTTGTCGATGTGTTCCCGCAGCTCCACTTGGCTCTCTCTGAAATGAAAAGAAGGGGACAACATATAAGAAAGATCATCTAGGACAGGGGTGTCAAACTCCAGTCCTGGAGGGCTGGAGCCCTGCACATTTTTGGGTTTCCCCTAATTTAACACTCCTGATTCAAGTCCTTGTACCTCCTCGCGCTAATTATCACACAGCTCTTGGGCTGAATCATTTGTGGTGGAACAGGGAAAGAACTAAGCTACACAGCGCTCCAGCCCTCCAGAACTGGATTTTGACAGCCTTTATCTATGACATGGTCTTACCTATCAATCAATAAGACCTCCATACACATCCAGATTGGACAAAAGTGTTTGCCAGATGAATAAATGGAAATGACATTGAATATGATATTGTTGTCAAAGTAGTGCTGGGCGATATCATATTGATATTGCATCGCGCATGTGCAATAATCACCAGGGCTTCAGATGACAGGCGCAACATTTGCCATGCGCCAGCTTTTCGATGTTATACGGACATTTAATTATGCCCACAATTTAAGCAGTTTAGTAGTATGGCTAAAATATTAATCATTATTGAGGCTTTGTATGACGTCCAAAAGTTATTATTAGTATAAATACTGCATATCCTTATGTTTAATAAATGTGTCAGACTTTGAACTGCAAAAAGTACCACCACACTGCCGACGTCTTTTTACGTTGTTTATCCACAAGATCTCTTCTTTTAAAAGATGTCGTGGCTGCTCTTCTTCACCTTGACTTCAGTGCAAATTGCACTGAGGTATACCAAAACGTAGTATACCAAAACAGTATTACGTGGTATGCTCCGCTAATCGAATTTAAGAAACATAAAGTTTATACAGATTACTAACTTTTCTGTATCAAAAAACGCATCTCATTAATATTTAAGCCATACTAATAATCCTCTTACCAAATTATGGGCGTAAATTAATGTCCGTATAGCACCGAAAAGCTGGCGTCCGGCCAAATGCTTCGTCTGTCATCTGAAGCCCTGGTGATTATTGCGCTTGCGCGATATAATATCGCCCAGCCCTAAATCCAAAGTGACATATAAGTGAGGATCGGAGAGCAGGGTCAGACAGCACCCCTGGATAAACTGAAGTTAAAGGCCTTGTTCAAAGGCCCAATGGCGACATCACTCTACAAACCACAGAATTTGAACCAGCAACCTTCTATTACAGGCACAAAGTGAATAACCACACACTGCCCCGTTTCTTATTCAGAGCAACTTACATCAATACTTTCAGCAATAGACTGGCATGTCTTTAATAACAAAAAGCCTGACAAATACCTATAATCATAAATAAGCTCAAACACAGCACTACGGATAGATCTTGAGGACTACAGAGGAACCAACCCAATTCTAAAAGGTCTTTCAAACTGAGCTGGCTTGTGGCTGACCCTAAATAACCCACAGTCACGTGAGTCTGTCTGGAGGCTTCCAATAGGCGTGGCTGAATTGACAGCCCATCATCATCTAACGAAAGACTTCATAATAATATACTCAAAATCGATCATATTATTTCCCCACACTTAATATTTAGTGATCCACAAAACGAGGTGTCGTTCTTACTGTGGTATTTCGCAATTCACTACCAGAGGCATACAAGTTCTTCTGTCATGACGATGCAAAACCACATTAATACAGCAACCCAACCAGGAGCTCACATTATTATCAAGAATGCACACTACAAAACATTACAGCTGCAGTTCCCCAGGGACGAATCACGAAGTCAAGGGGTTCAGGTTTAGATAATCTTCATTCAGTTTGGCGAATGAAGCTGGTTAATGTAGATGTCGCTAATGCATTAAATGCGACCTGGTGGGGCGGAGCAGAGGAGTCACAACACCGAGGACGCGGAACTACAGCCTTAGCCTCAACCTGCCCAGCATTCAACCTCCTGGTTGCAGTTGAAACTCACCTCACCGAGTGCACGTGCAGGTCGAGCTGCTGCACGGCAGGTTTCAAGAGCTCGAACAATCCCTCGCCAATAGCATCCTTCTCCGACGGTGTCTCCACTACCGATACGGCCAGCGCCGCCATGCTGCTCGCGAGTCGTCCTCCTGAGATGCTAGACACGTGGTACGTGACGTCACCCACAGGCCTGGGCGGCTCCATTTTCCTCCTTTTCTTACCTCCGCCATTTCAATTCGGCACTCGAAGACTACATAGGTCAGGTGAAAGCGCAACTTATTTAACGAAACAACGGGCCACAACCACCCAGTTAAAAAAATCTGTATTTTTAAAAAAGCTTGAAGAACGAAAAAGAGGGGAGGCTGTCTTGCTAGTTGATTTAGGTGAGTAGTCTGGACGCCGTGTTTCTCAGCACAAAGCGGCGAGCTGCTAGCTAATGAGGAAGCCATATCCATAAAGCTAAATACAGTATCACATTATACAGCGGCTTGTGCCATTTACCGTTAAGCATCGTCAGTATTTGGTTATCTTGGGGACTAACTACTTCCTCACTGGCTAAATATAAATGGCACATTTTATAGTGTATTGTGCTCATTAAGATGAATGAATTGCACGTTAACTGAAACGGGTATTTGAGCTCCAGAGTTTAAAGTAATGGCGTATGCACAACTGTTGCACCATTGTTTGTGATTTTCTTGTCAGATTAACGTCTCCTCAGTCAGTTACGTTTGTGAGTTTGTTTTATGCGCGAATAATCTTTCCTTCGCTTGTCTTCTGCCCCCACCCTTCTCCTCTTGGGTTTGTTCGTATCAGGAGTGGCCCGGCACAGCGACGATGAGTAACCCATCCTCTCAAAAAGTCGTGCTGAAAAGCACCACCAAGGTGTCCCTGAACGAGCGGTGAGGCGCCCCACACTGACCGAATAGCGAAGGAGGGGACGTACAGTGACGTAGCGCGAGAACCGGAAGCGGAAATGGCGCAAGGGGAGCTGATCACACACCGGGATATTGACTGCCCCACATGTAGAAAGGGGCAGAGGTGCTGGTTCAGAGGAACCAAGAAAGAGTGCTCACGCTATAGTGGGTAAAAGAGGAAGGAAAAATATATTATAATCCCCCTTTGTGAGCCTTTTAACAATTGGGCTTAAGGAGAGTGTTGCTGATATGTGGTATGGTGACAGTTTTTACCTAAGCCTGCCTCTGCTCTGTCCATGTTGTTCAGAGCACAGAAAACGCTTGGGGGATTAGGGGGCAAAAATGCTACCCATTTTCCACCTGAGTACATTAAAAAGCTGCCTCTCCAGCCCTCTATATTCTCTCTCTCTAGTCACATAAACAGTGTGAACATGATGTCATTCTCTTTCTTCCCACTATCATGTCCTGTTTGTGTTTCTCAACATAAAACCCGGGTGCCCAGTCCAAGCCCAGACGTGAGCCAATCCAGCCCACCGTCTCGCTGCTCAGGCCTCCTTGTTCTGTCACAGTCTCTGCGCGCCCTGTCCTGTTCCTCCAATTTCTGTGCAGCATGTCACGGTCTGGGCTGTAAGAGGCTGGCTGCCCGGGCGTACCCACTGCCCCTAGCCTCTGATGCCCCCATATACATTTGGGAAGAGATGCCCAAGCCTGTGGGGAGGCTCGAGGCTTGTAAGAGGCATTTGTTCAGACTCTTGTGGAGCATTATATGTTGTCTTTGCATTTTGCTTGTCTTTCTGGTTTTGTTTCATTTTATGGTGTACATCTTTCTTCTGTTCTCTTCTCCCCCTGCCCCTCTTCCTAACACCAAACTGTCTTTTTGTCTCTTAAAATGCTGAGCATGGCCACCAAGATCTGGTGGCACTTTGAGAGAGAAAAAACCCATCAAAAAAGTGGGCATTCGCATTTTTCTGGGTGGCTGTAGATACGGCCATGGTGTGTTAAATTATTTGCTTTGGAACCTCCTGTCCCCCTTTCCCTCCCTCCCTCCCTCTCTGCACTGCCCCTACCCCATCTTTGTTCCCCAAGCTTCACTAACATGCTGAAGAACAAGCAGCCCACCCCGGTGAGTGTCCGGGCCACCATGCAGCAGCAGCACATGGCCAGCGCCCGCAACCGCCGTCTGGCTCAACAGATGGAGAATCGGCCTTCTGTACAGGCGGCACTGCAGCAGAAGCAGGTGAGGAGTCTGCAGAGTTTGGGTAGAACAGGCAAGAAAGTGTTTGTTCCTGTCCTGCCACAATCCTAATGGGTAAGATGCTGCCTCTCATGAAATATTCTTAGTGGTGTTACAGCAGCTTTGAACAGTAAAAGTGGTATTTATATTACTGTCTGAGGGAGATGCTAATCTATAGTTCACCACAAACATTCAAAGCAGTGCAGTATATTGGGTGATACTCAAGCAATTTCAATACTTCAAATAAGCAATTTGAAGGTCATTGCAACAGTTTGATTGTCCAGCAGTTCCTAAGGCCACATTTCTTGTAAACGGACAGTTTTTATGTCCCTCTTTCCTCTCAGGCTCTTCAGCACTAGCCTGCTCCCTTTTAGGTGTGATTATTGATCCATTTGAACGAATTTGTTGTAATCCCGCTTGGTGTTGGTCATCCCTACTGTAGGAGACTCGTGTCCCCAAGGTGCTCCACCGAGCACCACAGCAGATCCTTGCTCCCTGGGCCCATTAAACTGTATAAGTCCTCCACATCTGCACTGAGGGCACTATGGTCTTTCTGCTTTTTGGACACTTTTGCATTCTGATTTTAATAATGCTTGTTAATGGTTCATTCTTTTGCATTTGTTATTCTGCATTGTTGCACATTTGTATGGTACCCTGTTTATACCTAGGGTTGCAAAGGGCTGGAAAATTTCTGGAAATTTTCCTGAAACTTTCCGTTCCATGGGAAGTTAAGCTGGGGAATTTTGGAAATATTCCTCATTAGAAACTTTCCATGGGAATTAACGGGAAAGTATGGGAATTAACAAGAATATTCCTAGAATTTTGCAACCCTATTTATACCTTTTACACACACACTCTCTACATACCTCGGCTTTAATATTTTTTTCCCCATTATACTTGCATTGCATTCCTTAATTTGTATGGTATTTTAAGATCTTGTTTGGTTTTGCACAGTGAGAGCTATGCCTTGGTACAGTCGTTTCCCTCGGGATGAATAAAGTTTTATCTTTCCGTTTAATGAACCTCTGGCCTACCGGAGCACTGTACCAGAGCCATGATCTCATGAATGCACACTACCGCTTCATCTCGCAGAGCCTGAAACAGCGGCTGGGGAAAAGCAACATCCAGGCCCGGCTGGGAAGGCCCATAGGACCCTTGATGAGGGGTGGACCTGGTGCCAGGGGTTTCTCCATGGGGGGTCTGCGGGGAGTACCTCGAGGAGCCCTTAGGGGCCGCGGTGGCCGTGGGGGTGCCATGAGGGGGGCTCTGTCCCTCAGAGGTGAGTTTGGGCTCTAAGAAGTGAAATATGAGGCATCTGCACTAAAGTTGGATATAATATTTTGACTTATATCAGCTTTGGTACCCCGATATTGAGACTAAATCCATTAGCGTGAAACATTACGCAGGGGCGTGAAGCGTCATTAAAAACCATATTGGCTGCAGATTATATAATATTGTTCGCTGCTAGATGCATTATCGTTAACTGTGCAGAATATTGAAGGGGACCCCTGTTAATTGTGCATCCCCTTCTTACTAATGGTGATAACTTTAGAACCATTCTCCATATGTAACTATTCAGCATTATATTGGTGCTGCTTCAGTGTGTGCCTGAAAATACTGTGTGCATGGACTGATACCAGTATCATGGACTGATACCGGTATGTACTGAAAAATTTGATATAGCAATGTATTGTGACATACAAAGCGCATCATATAGGCTTAATCCATATAGCAGCGATGGGCAGAAAGACAGTCCCTCCAGAACTTATCACAGAAATTATGGCAAAATCAAGCAAGCTTTGCAGTATTTGCAAGAGCTTGCAGTCTTTCAAATTTACCACAGGTTTTCTGCAAGAAATGGCCAAATTAACAGACAACTTGCATTTGGATGATGAAACCTCCTGTAATGCCATAGCAGTGTGCATTTGTGTTTTTAGCTAGGCTCCGCTACAGGGAAGATGAGCACAGCAAGCACATTTCATTTACCAAAAAGTTGAGGCATCATACACAGCACAAATGAACGTAGTGTACATAACTCAATCATTGGGCACTTTGGAAATTAAAACAATACATTTTTCTGTCAACATATTTGACTGCGCCAGAGATTGGAATAACCCTCAGCCTCATTCCATGGATGTTAACCAGCCATTAATGATGCAGACAGAGCTGTGCCTCTGGGAAAAATAAACTTACCAGACAAGAAGGCCAGACATGTCATGGTTCACGCAAAATAACACATGAACCTGTACCGTAAACAACCTAATAGATCACTGGTGATTTTAATTTGCTGCTGATGTTGAATTGAGAGCTTATTGAACTCCTTGGACTGATGAAAATACAGTACCTGCATGCATACATTCACCTACACAGCTTTCTCTCTTCTTTATCCTCTTTACTCTACTCGCTCTCTTCTCTCCTTGCTCTCCACTCTTCACCAGTGTTGCTTTTTTTGGCAGCTTTTTTTTTTTTTTTTTTCGTCGTCTTTTTTTTACTATGTTGTTTTTTTTTTTATTGTTGTCTTCTTTATTTTTTTTTTTTTCTTCTTTTTTTTGTTTACTTATTATCATATTATTGTTGGCTTAAGCTTCCGTTTGTTTTGTTCACTTAAGTTTAAAGTTGGGAGTTTTATTTTTTAAGTTTTCCTTTGGTTTTTTGAAGTTCTTTTTTTTCCCCAGGTTGAATTGAAACCAATGTTAAGGAATGGTCTTAAGGTCTGACTGTGGTGTACACAGAGACAGATTTTTCTCTTTTTTTTGACACACATATGTTTGTTTATAACTGGGTACTGTAAAATCAGTAGTGTCATTAGTGCAAAAATAAAATCACTTCAAAGAAAAAGTACATAGGCCATAATGCCATCAGGCCTGCTCTCTCTGAATATTAAAAGTATTACAATAAAAATTTGTCGATGTAGTTTATTGGTGATTTCATGTTAGATAGAGTATGGAATAGTCTTCCTGCTAGTGTAGCGGAAGCTAAAACCATGGGTTCCTTTAAATCAGAGCTAGATAAGATTTTAACAACTCTGAGCTATTAGTTAAGTTCTCCCCAAACGAGCTTGATGGGCCGAATGGCCTCCTCTCGTTTGTAAATTTCTTATGTTCTTATGTAGTTGAAGTTTCCGCTTTTTAATAACTGTATAAAGTAATGTAATGTGTTATATAAATCAACTCGGGTGAAACAAAAAATGTACTTTATAAATTTCAAGAATCTGGCATAACACGCTTTCAGACTCATGCAGGAAATCTTAAGGTAAATCTATATTATGCCATTATAGACCTAAAATTAGCTACGCCAAAAATGTATTTACACGGTTAAATACAAAAGAAGACTATTTACAACGTAAGAACTGTTACATATGTGTGCAGACATCTAGAATTAAAAATCTCACTCCAGCCAGCTGGCCGAAGTTGGCAACCCCGCGTTTGATTTGAAATGAAAAGTAAAATGCACTGTTTTCGCCTGAAACGGCTTGTCATTTCGTTTTGCGTTTTTACTCCAACAAATATAAAATGAATATGAGAAAAACACGTCACGTTTTATATCTTTTAAAAATAATGACTGCCCATATCCTACTCTAATAGCGATTAAAGTTCGTATGTATTTATATTAAAACGAGACTTTAATTTTATTACTGATGTTGGATTATCGAAACCAATACTTAAATCCATGAACACTAAAATATGACAAACACCACTGCATTAGAGTTTTATGTCTTAAGCACTTTATTTAAACTTGCACAGTTTTCACATTTTATTTTTTCATATTTTGAAATGCAGCCCTACTTTTATTTAGCAAATGAGAACATACATACTGGCAGTCATACATATATGTTCAGTTCTATGTTACTTGACAAATATCAAAATTGTGCTGAATTTGATTTGACAGTTATGTATTGATTACATTCAATGTTACAACTAATGCGCTACTTAAATATATATCACACTAAATAGTTAGACATAAAGACTGTTGGGTAGAACAGGCAAGAAAGTGTTTGTTCCTGTCCTTCTTGAATTTTTGCTTCAAGAAATTTTCTCTAACTGGACCTCTTTAAATTTTAGTTGAATGCCCCTGCCGTATGCAAACTACATTACTTCTGATTGGATCTTATCTCTGGCAAACATTTTCGTCTCATTTTTTTTCGTTGACGAAAGTGTCAATACACTTAGTCATAGTCTTGGGTCTTGCAAAATAATTTTTATTTAGTTATCGTCTCGTTTTAGTCTAAAAATAAAGGTCGTTGACGATAGCTATGACAAATTTTTCGTCAACAAAATTAACACTGCTCTTCACACACTCCCCAGTACAGTACTGTATGTAGATACAATATTACAGCTCATAATACAGCAATGATAAGAGTATTTCAGATGTTTTAGTGCATTTGAAAGCATTTAAGTGTTTTTATGACAAACATTTGACTGACGCTAAATGAGAACCGTAGGTACTTGTTCCAGATACATGTTGTATCCTAAGGTTACTGGCAATAACCTGGCCCTATGGTAAACTGAACAAGACTAATCTGTACCTAGGAATTGTCCCCCGCACCCTGCGAGGGACTGAACCAATGACTTAACACTGCATTTTATATCAATGACCCAGATAACTGGTTTTTCACAGGAAATGGTGAATATTGGCAGGACACTTGGCACTAGTGAGTCTGTTGCTAGCTGTCATTCACCAGTCCTTCCCCTTCTGCAGGTATGGGCCAACTACGTGGACGAGGTGGCCCTAATCGCTTGGGCCTTCGTCGGGGCATGCGCCAGAGAGGGGGCCTGGGTGTCCGCGGAGGGCCTCTGACTGGGACCGGACGAGGAGGCCAGGGCTTGAGGGGTGAGTAATTATTCCCCCCTCAATTTCCTGAGAGCCCCTGAACCAGGCGTGTGCCGCCTACTTGTGAGTGACTGCTGTTGTGATTAGTAGTCTCTTCCTCCCCTTAGGCAGAGGAGGACTCGGTCTCCGAGGCCGTGGTGGCTTTGGAGGCAGGGGACGTGGCCGGGGACGCGGCAGAGGAATGGGCCGGCCACCCGTCACTCGAGAGCAGCTTGACAATCAGCTGGATGCTTATATGTCAAAGACCAAAGGTCACCTGGATGCCGAGCTGGATGCCTACATGGCTCAAGCGGATCCCGACAGCATGGAATAGACTGTGCCGTTACATATGCAGCTACCCCGCCAGGACACTGGAAGCGATGAGCCCATGGCTGGTATCACTACATACCCTGCTCTACTGACAGACCCACGAGTCCACCCTTTTCGTGTATGCGAAACTTTGACAGCACAGCACACATTTGCCCTGTGCATATACCAATAACCAGTATGTGTGGCTGCTTAGCATCCACACATCACTGCGTTCCCACATTCACTCAGTACAGTCAACCCTCAAATCACTGTAGGACAGGCCTGGATGTTACACAGCTATACAATTTGTTGACCTGATATGTATTTTTGCAGAAATCCTACATTTATGGCCTTCGTTTTGCCTTGTACATGGGGTGGAGAAATTTGATAAGCAATAGCCTTGTAAAAATTAAACTGCCAGGAAGGTTAAATGTTACATGCAGTCGTCCAAAGAGAAGGGTTTGACTGAGCTTCTTGGAGCAGGGCTTTTGTCCTGTATTTGATGTGCTTAGTTGCACTAAATCTAGTGCTCATTGGCTAACATTTTAAATGACTTGACCATAGTTTTTAGATTTTGACAGATTTATAGCCCAGTACTATACTTATGGTTTTGCAACCAATGTACAAGTCATCTACCCCTGACTTAACCATCTTTCAGTGACTGGTGAATATATACATATAAAAAGAATTTTGCTGTTACTGTTTTCCTCCAAAAAATTGTTTGCTTTGAAGTGTTTGTTTTAACATTGTATGGTTGTTCAAGACAAGTCAGCCCCTGGTATCTGGTGTTTAAAGTGCTTTTTGAGTCTCTCTCCCTCATTTGAGGTTCTTCATTTCAGAGGTACTGGAAGTACTAATCGTGGTGGGGTCTCTTGAGTGCACCAAAGTTGATGCCTTTTGCAGTCTCAACAGTTTGATTTGTATTGTGAAATTTATTTTGGAATGTTACCAATAAGGTTTTTTTTTTTAAACATCACTTGTACAATCTGGGTAGTGTAAAAGCTCAATGGATGTTTGTGTAAATATGGCTTGATATAAAGTGTTTATTTGAACTGAAACAGGTGTGAAAAACTTCTGTATTTACAATGATTATCAACCACCTTTAAAAGGAGACAATGTGAGCACAGCTTATCCTGGGGCTGCACATTATTAGAAAAAATGGCACTAATAATGGCACACTGGCATGAGCAGGTAACAACACAAATTTACAGTACAAAGTAATACCACCAACATAGCCCCCACCATTACCACCAGAATGATCATTATTATAAAGGGGACAACAGGGCTTGTCACAGATGTCTCATAACATTTGACCATGCCTCAGTAATTTCACTCTTTGCTCCCTGTAGTTTTGCACATTATCTATGGGAGTCTTAATTGGACTTAATTATTTGTAACCGACAGAAGACAATCCACAAATATATACCATGATCCACAAATATTTAACTATGTATAAATGTTTGTTTTTTGTGTTGTGTAAAAATGTATACAAATGTAACATATTTGGGGCGGCATGGTGGTGCAGTGGTTAGCACTGTTGCCTCACACCTCTGGGACCTCCGTTCGAGGCTCCGCCTGGGTCACATGTGTGTGGAGTTTGCATGTTCTCCCCATGTCGTCGTGGGGTTTCCTCTGGGTACTCCGGTTTCCCCCCACAGTCCAAAGACATGCTGCGGCTAATTGGCGTTGCTACATTGCCCTTAGGTGTGCATGTATGAGTGAATGGTGTGTGAGTGTGCCCTGCAATGGGCTGCCCCCCATCCCAGGTTATTCCCTGCCTCGTGCCCATTGCTTCTGGGATAGGCTCCAGACCCCCTGCAACCCAGTAGGATAAGCAGGTTGGACAATGGATGGATGGATGGATGGATGTAACATATTTTGCACATTTGTGGATCGCGTTACATTCGTAATGCAGAATTTGCAGAGTTCTGATTCAGGTGAAGGAAAGTCAGGGACCATCAAGCTATTTACAGGATTATCTTACAGGTTTCCTCCCTGGAGTTATGCCATATAATATATGTGAAAGTGTGGAGGCGAGCTTTGGTACTCAGTATGTTACAGAATGATCCACTCAGCAAGGGCTGTCAGTCATATTCCTGTTTAAGTGCAGTGCCGATGTGCAGGGAGTGTCTTATGAGCTGGTTGTGGAGTCACTCTGCTCAGTTTCTGAAATGCAAAGGTGCTGTCACTGCACTGGGCTACCAACTTAGATGGAAAAATATGTCATATCAAAACTAAAACAACCAGTAATTTATTACAGCTATGGTTGTATGTATTTTTCAGCTGATAAAAACACCATAATCATATCTGCTATAATTAGTATTGCGCCTCATTTTCCTGTTTTAAACAAAAACCACATGGAAGATGTCAGGTTCATCGAGGTCTTTAGCTACAGATGAGTCACTCACTCTGGGCTGCAGTGTATCTTATAGGATCAGAGGTTTGACATGGATCCGGTGCACCTGGAATGCAATTATACCAAGTGTTTGGTATAAAGGACATTTAAAATGGCTTTATCCAGCTACATGTTTAAACACTTCAATCAGATCCTCCTGACCTAATAAATAACAGGTTTTTGGACTCATTCATGGCCAGAGTCCTGCAGGATTTATATCTCTCCCACTGCCGCATCATCAGGGACGCCAGCCAACCAGCTTACACCCTCTTTACACTCCTACCCTCTGGAAAAAGCTACCTGTGCATCACCATCTGCACCCCCCACCTTAGGATTTCTGAGAAATTATGTATTCCCCAAATACATGTTCAAATAAAACTTAAAAAAAACTTTTAGAACTTCCGGACAAACCCAGGGTATTCTTTTTAAAAACTTCACACAGTATCTGTTATTGCCTTTGAGGATAACTAGTGTCTGTTAGTGTATGATCAGAAAAACACTAAATGAGATCATTCACTACAATTAATTTACATCAATACACTAAACAAGTAAAAAA